ATTTGAACAATGACAAATATTCTCATGAATATTAAACACAACAACCTCTGAACATTACCTCTCATACAATAATACAATACAAAGTGTGTGTGTGTGTGTGTGTGTGTGTGTGTGTGTGTGTGTGTGTGTGTGTGTATGTGGAGACACTGTGATGGATCGTTGGAGCTATGTGCAGCTCAAGGCATATATGCTCGAACGGGAGCTGCCTGGACGCTGCAATCATGTTGTGCGCACTATCCGTGCTGAGTGTGCTGACTTTTCGTACAATGTCCCACTGTCTGGCTACCTGCATAAAGTCAAGTGCTCGGCGCAGTTGTCGGCGAAATGTCGCTCCTCTGTTTTCATTGAAACAGCTCCTTATATCCGTTAGCGCAGCTAGCTAGCACCAGATGCTAACAACAACAACAACAACACGTAAGGTGTGCCTCGCTCGCGCCACACATACACACACCCTCCCGGTCCTCCCGATGGCCAGTCCGGGCCTGCCGGTGAGCGTGGAAGTGTGGTCTGCCACAAGCGGGCGGCAGGAGCGGGGCTGTCAGCATCAGCTTGTAGATGGTATTTTAAACTCGATGCGCTCTGAAACTACGGGGCGGGGTGGCCGAGGACAAAAAATACACATGCGTTAATCGCGTTAAAATAATTAGTGGCGTTAATTTTTTTTGCGTTAACGTGTTATTAACGCCCTAATATATATACATACAAATCTCCAGTAACAAATATAATGCAGGATATTATTGTGCAAGAATGGATTATTCAATATTAAATAGAATATGAACGTAAAATGTCCTGTTAAGCCCGAGAGGACCCTAATCCGGGTCTGGCGGGTAGTTTTTTCACGAAACTGTGTCTCAGGGCTTCTTAATATTTAAAAACCTATGAATGTGTCATACTCACTTAACGGTTAGAAACTCAGCTAACTGAAGATATGAACTATTTTTACCGAAACAAAGGACAAGTCTCACAAGAAGCGTCTAAATTAGCCCTGAGCGAAGAAATGCAAGAAAACTTAGCACAGAACTCAAGGTAAAATTACTTATCGTAACTGCACATATAAGATATCCGATTAAAGCTGAGATTCCACAGATTATATAGGTATTGGTATCATCACTGAGTGATCAGAATTCGCGACAGGGGAAGCAAACACAGACATCACAACACGTAGCATCACGGAGCATTCACGGGACATCTCTTACCTTGGCTGTTGGTTTCTGATCAAAAGTCGTGTTCAATGGCATTAAAACGATAAAAACGCGGCTAAAGGTTAATCCATAGGTTAATCCAATGTGTCTGTCATTTAGAAAAAATTATTGATAATCCATAATTCCATTTTTATGTAAAAATCGGAGAATTTAAATTAGCTGCTAATGTGTGTATCGCAGCTTCCGGTTCCGGGGCATTCTGGCTGCGCAGCACTCATTCACCAATGGGTAATGTTTAGATGGATTTTAGGAACTTCCCCTCGATTCTATTGGCTCTAACGTTTAAAAAGAGGTGTCAATCATCAACATCGAACGAGGGGGGCCAGAGATATGGAAAATGCACCCAAATGACCCCAGAAGTGGGGGTTTTTTTCTAAGGCTGAAGTCGAATAGTCCATGATAAGAGCCGTTCGAATTCTCTAGATAGGAAAGGAGGTTTCAAACTTCCTTTATAACGTCCTTTAGCTTAGGAACCACTGGACCTCCCTTTATGAAAGGAGAGGAGAAAATGATGCCCCACAATGCCTTGCAGCCGCAGCATTTGCCGTCACACAACAGTCGGCCGTTCACGGAAACAACCGATTATGACCGATACATGTAAATGATATCATGAAAGTTACGGTGCTTATTAAGCATTTTAAAACATATGTGGTAACTTACCAAAGTGCTTTGTTTTGAACGTTCATCAGTATTATAATCCAAAAGAGAAATATGAACGTTAGTTTTTACTGAAATGATCAAATAAAGTCAACATTTCACAGTCTTTACTGAGCTGTGTGGGGTTTGTTCAACTTTTAAAAGATGTTTGAATGGTGATATACACAGTGATAGATGTTAAGGACTAACGTTTATAATAAATACATTTGTATTGATTTTAAGATATTTTCATAGTTCATACAATCATACGTATTGGGATCATTTGTATTAATGTGGACCGGAGGGAGAGGGTGATGAGCATAAGTTTCACTTTCCTTTTTTATTTCAATTCCAACTTTGGTCATGAAGAATTTATGTTTCTCTGTTGTCCACGTTCATAAAGCATAAAACAACAGCATCAGAGCACGGTGCAGAGTCTCTAGATGAGTTTACAGTAGTCCCTCGTTCTTATTAAACATCCATGTTGTAGTCCGCTGTATAGAAAACTGTAGTCTCCATAGTTTCCCCACAGCAGCAGACGCACATTTATGACCTCCGCTGGCGCATCATAAACACGTCGGATAGTGAAAGTGCAGTCGGATTCTCTAAAGTACTGCAGTCTCTTCTCCTAAGTCCTTTTGAATTCTCCTATCCACTATCCCTTAACCCCATGACGCTTCACTCAGAGGTCAAGGAATAGACGATAGGGTTAGACGTTAGAAGCTGATTTTTGGATTATCCGACCCCAACCTAAATCTCTCTAAAAAGGTCAAATGTCACTTGTTTTGCATCAATCTTGATACAGGGTACTTATATGTTATAGTCTGGATTCCTAAAGCTTTTAGTCTACTATCCCATCATTCAAGGGTGGTTTTCACTATAAGTAAAAAAGAAAATTTGGACAGACACTATAATTTACATTTTTTTACTATGTTCAATCTGAATTTTCTTTAAAATAAAAAGCATCTATATTGATTCTGACTTTTCTACATCCAACTCACAGGTTTATCATTGCTTTGAGAAAAAAGATTATGCATTTACCCCTTTTAAAAGGGAAGATACTGTATAGTCATTTGTTCTGGGAATGTCATTTTCGAGCCTGAGACCTGAAAAACAGGCTCAGGGCTTAACAGGTTGAGAGAGGCTGTGGAGCAGAGTTCTCTTCCCGGCCAGAGGTGATTTGTTGTACAGTTTAGTAGTTGTTATCTTTATGGTAATGTATATATTTTTTTTTAAGTAGCATGGCCAATTTCTAAACCCATCTGTTTCGATTAGATTCAAAATGATGCAGGCTTTGTTGATGTATATCCTACGCATTAATGCTTACTTTTTATCTGCGACCAGATGCCCTCAAATGTTATTTTGTAGTTTAAACAACAACCAGCAGATGGTGCCACTCACTTCCTCTGACATTCCTGAGTTTACACATCAAGGCCATTACATCTAAACTGTTTCACCATGCTCTCCTGTGTTTGTAAATGAGTTGTCATTTGACTGTTTTTGAATCCCTTCAAACAGGGGAAGTCCTTCGTTTGACCCATGTTGCCAGAGGTGTGGATTCTGAGGGAGTTTTACTAATCGACATCGTAATTAATGGATTTGTGCCTCCTTCATTAACATCATCTCATCTGAGCCTACAAGTGAGTCACTGTTGTCATTATGGTATTTATTTACAGTTCTCAAACATCTCACTAGAGAATTTGTTGATATACCCTCTTCCATTTCCCTCACCGTATTTCTTTTGTGTCCCGCAGGAGTTCGATGAGTCATATTTGCAGACGGGCCAGGGGCAGCTGTACTCGTGGTCATCGCAGACCCACCAGAGAGCAGGAAAGCCCATGGTGCTGCGCTGCAATCACACCATTATTTATGAGGGCCAGGAGGAGCGCCAGGGCCCTCTGCTCCAGCTGCTCAAGGTCTCCGGGACCAACAGCGTCTACAACATGTTTACTCTCTCTCTGGACTTCCACATCACTGCCAGCCTTCTCACACCAGGTCAGAGGGGGAAATTACATTGATTTAAAACCTATCTTTACATTACATGAAATACTGGATCTGAATAAAACATCTGTGAACCAAACTTTTCTGTTTGCAGACGGGTTTGAAGACACATGCCCTAAAGGTTTCACTCTCGACACGGCCTCCTACTGTGCTGGTATGCTGTTTTCTTCTCTTTTTTTAAACCTGCTTTATCTTGAACATATGTCCCTGTCCCTGTTTCTTTTAATGATTCAATTTGTCCTTATTAGATGAAGATGAGTGTGATCTCCAGTCCCCCTGCTCTCACTCATGTAACAACATCATGGGAGGATTCTCCTGTTCCTGTCCTTCCGGCTTCACCATCTCCACAGAGACCAACACGTGCCAGGGTAAGACAAAAAAACAAGTTTAGTGATTAATTACCAGATTAGAATTGCTAATATCCTAGTTAAGCAAATAAAAAATAATCATATTAATGTTCTCCTCAGCACTAACTTATGTTTCACTTTATACCAGATATTGATGAGTGTTCCCAGGGCTCACACATGTGCCACTACAACCAGCAGTGTGTCAACACAGTGGGCACATATCGCTGCCAGGCCAAGTGCGGACCAGGATTTAAGCCGAGCATCACAGGAACCAGCTGTGAAGGCAAGTCACTGCTAATCACTGTCTGCACAACATTTCAGAACAACTTATCCCCTACTGTAGTTGTGCATGCTTCCTCTCTTTGTTTAATCCACTTATATTTGTTTCTGCAATAATTCCCTCGGAAAACTATCATCGCTTACCATACAGTTTATACATACAGTATACTGGTGTGGGCAGTAGATGTATAAAGCCAGATGTGTCGATTGTGTGTTTCAGATGTGGATGAGTGCCAGGAGTCTTCTCTCTCCCCGTGCCAGCATCAGTGTCTCAACACTCTGGGCTCCTTCCGCTGCATCTGTCACCAAGGATACCAGCTGTCAGGACATCGCTGCATTGGTCAGTGGTATTAACTCAGTGGGAGTTCGAAGTTATCGACAGCTTAGAAAGTCATGGGAATTAAGAAGTGTAAAGTAGGGCTGTTGGGATATACCGTTATGGACATTAACCACGTTTAAAATAAAAATCTGATGCAGTGTTAATAGTCCACAAATTATGATATCAATGCAGTATATATACAAATAACTACAGTAGACAAAACATTTTTTTATTTTGGAGCCTCCAGGGATGGACAGTTATCATTTCAGACTCTCTCCTTACACTTGTATTCTAACTGTAGTTCATTTCCTAGCAAAGAAACAAAACATACACAAAAATCATGAATTTGGCTCGATCATAATGGCATTTCAAATGTTCTCTAGGTATCGCAATGCAACCTGAATCCTTTTGTCCTTGACAATTGTGTAGTGAAAATCTGATATTGTGAGAGCCCTACTTAATAAAGTCAGGTTTTAATATGATGACTAACGGATCTATTGTAATGGTTGCTTTTTTACAGACATCAATGAGTGCATGAGAAATGTTTGTCCGGGTAACAAGGAGTGCCGTAACACAGAGGGAGGATACCAGTGTTTCGACAGCTGCCCAGCTGGCATGACCAAATCAGAAAATGGAGCCTGCATGGGTCAGTGGCAATTATATTTGATCTTTGATATTTCTAAATGTAGCATGTTTTCTTCAGTTCAGTGACACGGCATCAACTCATTCGTGCTCTGAGCTCATGGAGAAAAATAACTGTGATGAATTGGGAGTATGAACAGCGGGTCAAATAATGTGATCTTGTTGGCAAAAGTACAATCAATGGAAGCCAACATAACTGCTGGTGATAGAGTATTGACAGATTCTGCAGACCTCCACACTTCATTGTATGTTGTGTAACACCAGGTCAGATTTTACAGGATTGCTTTAGGGGTTAACACAACAAGAGGTCGCTGCATGTCCTTCATGAAGAAAGCAAAAGCGTTTTTTAGTCTCTTAAGTCTCTTAATTGTTACTCATAAAAAGCCTTTGAGTAAAGACACAAAGATCCTCTTTATAACAGGATGCAACACAGTTTATGAGTCATCATTAATCATGGGATATATTCAAAACTGTGCATGTCAGAATAATCAAAGGATGTGCAAATGTAATTCTGAGAATTGCGCTGATATATTGCCTGTTTTTCAGATGTTGACGAGTGCCAGGATGGAAGTCACATGTGTCGCTACACTCAGATCTGTCAGAACACAGTCGGAGGTTATGGTTGTGTTTGTCCCAGAGGTTACCGATCCCAGGGAGTAGGCATGCCATGTCTAGGTATGACATCTGCTGTGTCTGTTTTATTACTCACCATTGACTCACACACACAGAATAATATGAGCCTTGTTCTTCCTTTCAGACGTTGATGAGTGCCAGCAGACGCCAAACCCCTGTGCCTTCCAGTGCCGTAATGTGCCTGGCAGCTTCAGGTGCCAGTGCCCTCTGGGTACTGTGCTGCTTGGAGACGGGCGCTCCTGTGCGGGGCTGGAGAGGAGGCAGACCTTCACCAACGGCACCAGGGTCAGGGCGAGGCTCCGCCCACAGCTGGTGTCGTCTCTCGGCAGGCCGATCCTCTCCCGAACCCACGGAGTGTCTCGCATCACCAGGCAGAGCTGTCCCGTGGGCTACAGCAACAGGGACGGCACATGTGTTGGTGAGTGTGCTTAAAAATGATCAAATGCAGCATTCAATAACACTTTAAAATAACATATTACAACTTCTTGATTGTCGCACTTCACATTATTCTCTGTACAGATGTAGATGAGTGTCTGCTCAGAAAGCCATGTCAACACGAGTGTCGAAACACCATCGGCAGCTTCCAGTGCATGTGTCCCCATGGTTACCAGCTCTTACCCAATGGCAAGAGCTGTAAAGGTAAGAGTTTTATTCAACTGTAACCTTCTTGCTACCTTTAAGGGTGGCTCAGAAGGCAGGATGTCCACCAATTGGAAAGTTAGTGGTTTGATCCCAAGGCCCCTGTGGTCAGTCAACATGTCAAAGTGTCCTTGACCAAGATACTGAACCCTGGCATTAATCATGCTATTCCTGTCATGCTATGTTTTTTCTTCCTTATTATTTCTTGCTGGCTGTTATGTTTGTCTTCTATGTTGGAAAAAGGGAAGCTTGATTTCCACCCCAAAGAATATATACTACTGCTTACACTTGTATGCTTCTTCTCAATAAAAATATTTGAATAAGATACTGAACCCCAAATTGCTCCCCATGGCATTGCCAACAATGTGTATTTCTCTTGAGGAGCAGCATGTGGCACCTTTGTTCACAGCCTCTGCCATCAGTGTTTAAAGCACTATATAATGCAGTCCATTTAAGATATAAATGATGACAGCTAATCCCCTCCTCTACTTCTAGACATCGATGAATGTGTAGAACAAGGCATCAAATGCGGACACAATCAGATGTGTTTCAACACCCGAGGAGGATACCAGTGCCTGGACACACCCTGCCCTGCGTCCTACCAGAGTGGACGGAGCCCCGGGTAAATTGCATGACATGCTTACGTTGTTTATCAAATGTTTTGATTCTTATGTGACACTTTCCTCTTTGCTGTTGACCTGTACAGGACGTGCTACAGGCCCTGCTCTCTGGACTGCGCCGCAGGAGGCTCCACTCTGATTCTGCAGTACAAGCTGCTCACTCTCCCCTCCGGTATTCGAGCCAATCACAACGTCGTACGACTGTCGGCTTTCTCTGAGTCAGGCGTCCTGCAGGACCGTACATCTTTCACGGTACTTGAGCAGGAGTCAGTGACAGGTGTGATGGGCCGTGTGTTTGGCATCAGAGACAAGGCGGGCCGGGGGATCATCTTCACCCTGCGGGCTCTGAACGGACCGGGTCTAGTGCGCCTCAAGGTGCAAGCCACCACCATCTCCCTGCAAGGCCGCATTTCCTACCAGAGCATCTTCATCATCTACATCTCCATCTCCACGTACCCCTACTGAGCCCCGTGCTGCTTTAAAGATGACTCTGCCTCCCTGTGGCCTCTGGAAGCCTCTTACCCACAAGGCAATTCCCCCAAAACCAAGTGCCTCGGACACATAAGGCCATGAAGAGGCTCTAACATATTAGAGAAGGAGGATGTGTACCCTCATCTGTGACTGAAATGTCACAGTTGAAAAGGTCCTGTAAGAGAAAAAGACCGGTCTCCGTTTTTAAGTGTTCACTTGGCTCTGTCAAATTATTTATAGAGCAGAACCCTGTTGAAGAAATTTGAATTGACATGCTGGATGAGCAAAATATTTTGTTCATTTATTCACTTTATGCCCTATTTTGGGGGAGTATTGGAATATCTGAAAATGCAGCATGTTTTAAAAAGATGTAATGTCAACCAAGCACTGAAGTATTTAGTATCCATCAGGAATTTGTATTTACTGTTTACTTTACAATGTTTATTCTGGCACACATATATGTTTGCAGCCCACAAAAAGTCCTTCCCCCTATTTTAATTTATTTCAGTCATTAAAACACATCACTTCGGGAAGTCAGATGTAATATCTTTTTTTAATACAACAATTACCCAAACACATGTTTTATTGCAATGTCATTAAATCCTACATCTCATGCCTTAGCATTTTTAAGACTTTTGAAAGATAGACATTTAATTACCAACTAAGGCCTTATTTTTAGATAAATTAATTAAATGCTTTTTAAGGATCGACGCAAACCCTTTCTAGCATTAAACCTTTAATGGCACATTTGAACAGTGTCTTGTGGATTGTAGCCATCTAGCTTGCAACATTGTTTCATTTATCGCATGTGTTTTTGTACTCTTTTATAACATTTTAATTATGTGAAATATTTCAAAGGTGCTAATCTGAATGTACTTTTTTACATTGAAATACTGACCACAGAGTTGAAATGCACTTACAGTTTCTGCATTGTGGAATTAGATACATACATATGGCACAACTACATGACATTTCAGTTGTCATTTCAACATTTAAAATACACGTTGATCAGTATTCAAACATGTGCCAGCAATGTACAAATCTGAGTTACCCAAAAAACAAAATGCCCACATTTGCAGTAAATGTTACTACTCGTGTAGAGTAAACACACATTTCCCTGTTGCTGTAAATGAGTGTCAAATATTTGTAGAAATAAAATGGATAAAACTTTTGTTATTGTCTGTTATTACTCGGTCAGTCTTGGTTATATCCCATTGTAGATTGTAGACTAACATTGTATAAACAGCATATTGCAGCTGACAAACTACATTACTACAAACATGTATAAACCAAGAGTTGAGCATACGCACAACCTACTCAGGAAAAGCCATTTGGCCACAACAGTAAAGAATGACGTGTTAGCCCTGAGAACAGACGACGATCTGGCATTTAGATCATGACTCGGACCCAAACCTTCAGTTAACCTAAAATAATTGCTTTCATACCCTGCAATGACTGTTCTGAGGAATACAGTTGTGCAATTACTAATCTGCATATAGGAAAATATGCAAAATCTATTGTGGTTGACACATTTCTTTCCCCACAAATCACATTCAAATACTGCCCAACCTCAATGTTGAGAGGATTGACTTCTGGTCCTTTAAATCAATAATATTTAACACTTATCCTCCAGGAAGTGGTATTACTCATTGACTTGTGTTCCCTTTGGAAACATCTGTAGTGAATGGTCTTCAGGTAATACCTCAGCTGCTCAGTAGATGGAGCAGCGCTTGGACTGTTCTCAAAGTGTTGAAGCTGACAGTCGGGGGCCCTCAGTGCTCGGGGTGTATTGTTGCTCTCTTAGCTGTCATCACTGTCATATGTTGAGCTGCTGTTTGTAATAACTGACAACACTGAGAAAATGTATCCCTACACGAGGGAATTTGAACATTACTCCACTTATGGATACACTCGTGGTTACCTGACAAAACTGTTCACAGTTATATGGGATTAGGTTATCTTTGAATCTGTTTTTGTAGTGCTTCTACAGTTTACAATCTGCAATTCAGATGTTTTATTTTTCCCCTGTTTCTTTCCCTGAAATGACTAATAGAGAGGGTCAGGGAAAGCTGACCTGAGCTAAGATGAGGGGGTGTGTTTGTTGATGCTTCAGCGCTGTGTGTGTGTGGGGGGGGAGAGGTGGCCTGCGGTTGTTTTCATTTTTGAAGTTTCTGTGATGTGGTCATTAGCTTAGCCCGGATGATAGGAATAACAAGTGATTGTGAAAGAACAATTGATACAGTATACTGCGTGTGGCTTTAATACACGTCACTGCTAGATTTTATAATAGTCAGCCAACTTGGGTCTCACTTTCAAAAATGTAAATCAAACAACAAACTGGTCCATAATTTTCCATTTAAGTGGATAAACAGGGAAAACTACTTTCTAATAACTGTGTTTCTAAACAAAGAGCCATTAAAGCTGGGGTAGGTAAGTTTGAGAAACCGGCTCGAGATACACTTTTTGTTATATTCCATGGAATGCTCTTAACATCCCGATAGCAATGAATATCTTAAGTGCTTTGACAACAAATCCATAAAGAAATGTCATCTGTGGAAGCCGTAGTACTGTAAAAAGTACGACCAATCATTTTAGCCGGCCCGGCTAAAATAACTGGATGGCCTACCTGCCTGTCAGCCTTCCATCTGTGCACAAACTTATCTCGTGCCCTCATTGGTCATGTGCGCATTTGTGTGTGTTGGAGGAGGGGCTCTGTAAGGAAGTAGCAGATTTCTTCCGGCCATGTATTTTCAAATTCTAGCACACTCGAGCTGGTTTCTCCAAAATTACCTACCCTACCTTTAAGCGTAATAATTTCTGACTTTGGTATATGTAAAACTAGCTAAAACAATATGAGCCAAGTCTTTGATTTATATCAGAACCATGGGCAATAACTAAAGCAGCAAAACCAATATAACCTTTACTGATACATGTATATCGAACATGGGATTAAAAAAGGAAAAAGTAACAAGCATGACTGAAAGAAACAGCAGGAATGCACACCAAACTGGAAGCAAGACATTCATTAAGGTTTCATAAAGCTTCACAAATTCCCTGTAACACATGTTAGTTCACTGTGAGGCAGACTGGAGGCCTTTCCCTCTCAATAAAACACAAGTATTAGTGGAAATGAATGCTTAAGGCAGAGAGATGGCTTCCAGTAACATCACCCCTACTGCTTTACACAGTCAGGAGAAGTGGGGACTAACTGTGCTCCATTCACTAATGAGCACAAGTCTGCTGCCCATTAGTAGTAAGTATAAGCAATGGAGCTCATAGTGTAACTATTATTTCCAAATGAAACCTTCAAACTAAATAATTATTTGGGTTATAGTCACCCTAGTTTCTGCCTGAGATCTAATTTGCCTCTTTATATGCCAAATCAAGCATTCATTGACAACAACGTTTTCTTTCACAGCATCACAACATTAAAAACCTTTTTTACATGCAGAATTAGTGAGATGAGTAAAATGGAAAGTTAAGCATATGGTGAAGAAGAGTGTGGTTTAGCACCTTTCAGCAGTTGTATGGAAACTTTACCAGTCTCACAGCTCTCACCAGCATTGTATCCAGATGCATGGAGCTGCTTTCAGTAGCACAATGCTCTGATAAACAAACTGCACATTACCTTACGAGCACCATGTCAGACAAAGTTAGCG